ACACACACACACACACACACCATGTATACTGTGTATATAACTGTGTATTTGCATGCATTTATACCTCTCAGAGTTCTTGACCACTTTGGCCAGCAGTTTGGAGGTGGATGCAGCTTTCACCAGTTTGTTCCTGTTTTCCTCTGAACTGTCCCAGGTGCTGCTCTGAGAACGCTCCATACCTGAGGACCGCTTTACACTGGGACCCCTGATCACACACGGACACAAGCGGTCAGTGGTGTAGCAGCAGGAGGAGGGGGAAGTCACTGAGAGTCTCATGCTAATGTATTTGGTTGTCGAATGATGATTGATTACATTTTATTATTAACTGATACAAAGCTTTAAAGCCTGGAATCATGATTGATGACTAATATAACAGACATATCACCCAATTATCTCCTGTTTATTTTTCACTAACACTAAATATTCTCTCCATTTTTAAAAGATGTTATTTCTACAGAGCTCTTCTGGTGAAGTTGGGACAGGGTTAGGTATTAGCAGTTTTGATAAAACACACAGCCTGAGCTTTCTACCAGCAAAAAGCAAGGAGGACTCAGGAGGCTTCAGGATCTCTAACTGCACTCTGAAGTACTCCTGAACCCTCAAAAATGCCACAGAAGATCCTTAAGTTTCTTGAACCACCAGGAAAGCCCAGGTACAACAGAGGAGGAAGAGGGAAAGACAAGGAGTTAGGAGTTAGAGGAGCAGAGGAGGTCTTCAGGCGAAGCTGGGAGGAGAACAGGTTAGTAGTTTTGATAAAACAGCCGAACCAGAGCCTTCTACCAGCACAGAAATAAGAAAAGTCACAGGAGGATTCAGGATATCCAGGAGACTGCGGGAGCTCACTCAGACCTGCTCCTGAGAAGCCACAGTCCTGCTAGTTTTCCATCTGTTCCTGCTCTTCCCACACATGATTTGATGGCTCAAAATGTTCAGCCAATCAGGAGCACCTGTAACTGCTGGTCAGGTGAGCGGGTGTGAGAGGAGCAGAGGAAAACTGAGTCCTGGGGGCGGGGTTACTAGAGCGAGGTCAGAAGCATACAGCAAATCATGAAGTGGAACCTTTTTAGAGGGACGTGGCCTTTACTGCTGTCAGCAGGCTGGGCCAGTTTCTGTGGCTGGGGGGTCTGAGGGGTTAGGGGGGGATGGGGGGAGGAGGGAGAGGGTGACAGGTCCTTTGGATGAGGAAGTTCCTCATGCTCCTGGATCTCCTCCATCTGAGACCGCTGGCTGCTGACCTCCTTCTTCCTGTCTGCTCCACTGTGGACAAAACCAGGATGGTGAGAGGCCACAAACTACCGACTCTGCTAATGCTGCTCCATCTACTGGTTCTACTCTACATCTATGTCTGTGCAGATTCTCAGTCATCCAGGTCATAGTAAACTGAAAAAAAATCAACTGGACTAGATTTCTAGGTTGAAGATGTTTCACCTCTCATCCAAGAGGCTTCATCAGTTCTTTCGTCAGTTTTTCAGTACTCTACATCTACTAAATCTGCTGTGTTTACTGCAACAGTTCAACCAACCAAAATCCTTTGGAGACTGATGGTTGCTGACCTCCTCCTTCCTGTCTGCTCTACTGTATAAACCAGGAGAGACTTGAAATTGCTGCTGTAGCTCTACCGATTCTCTTGTATTTCTGGTGTGTTCTACTGAAAAATCCTTGGGAAAGAGAGGCGGCTAGAACAGCTGCTACTCAGTTTTATTGTGTTTACTGCAGAGGGTTCATCTCGACTGCACTCTACTGTCCTTCACTGTATTCTACCTTGATTTCAGCTGCACAAGTAAGAGCACTGGGCATATGTTCTCAAAGCAAGGAAAGTAAATGATTAAATCAATCAGTGATCAGATCTGGTCTGCAGACACTCTGGAAGCTCAACTCACTCAGCTGTGGAGAAACATCACTGGCAGTTAAATTAATTCACAGTGAAAGTGCACATTCAGTATTTAACACTTCAAAGCAGCAACAAGGGAACTGTAACAAAGCAAAAAATTACCAGTTAGCCACTTATAAACAAAATCACATTTAACCATCTTTTAGGGGATCCTGAAGTGTTTGAGGACTCTTACCTCTTGGCAGCAGATGACACGGTTTCCTTCCTGGTGACTGATGTGGAGTCCCTCTTTCGTCCAGATGTTCCTCCGTTAGCAATACAGGACATCGAGTAGGCTTCACGCAGTGCAGCGCCACCTGCGATAGGCAGCACAAAACCGTTAACAATGGCTGCAGTCAGTCATAGACTGGGTCTGGCGGTTCTTACAGTTGAAGTCAGACGTTTATGTACACTTAGGCTGAAGTCATTAAAACTGACTTTTTTTTTTACCCACTCCACAGACGCCATGTTAACAAACTCTCATTCTGGTAAATCGGTTAGGACGTAATACTTTGTGTGACACAGGTAACGTTTCCAACTGTTGTTTAGATTGTTTCACTTACAATTCACTACATCACAGTTCCAGTGGGTCAGAAGTTCACATAAACTCAGTTGACTTTGCTTTTAAACAGCTTGGAAAAGTCCAGAAAATTATGTCATGGCTTTAGAAGCTTCTGATTGGCTAATTGACATCACTGGAGCCAACAGGAGGTGCAGCTGTGGATGGACTTTTAAGGCCTAGCTTCAAACTCAGTCCCTTTGTGTTTGACCCTAACCCTGGGAAAGTCAGCCAAGACCTCAAAAAAAAAAAAACTGGACATCCACAAGTCTGGTTCCTCACAGGGAGAAATTTCCAAACACCTGAAGGTTCTACGTTCATCTGTACAGACAATACTACACATGTATGAACACCACGGGACAACGCAGCATCGTACCGCTCAGGAAGGAGATGCGCTCTGCCTCCTACAGAGGAACGGACTTTGGTCTGAACAGTAGGGGTGCACCGAAATTTCGGCCACCGAACATTTTCGGCCGAAAAGGCCATTTTTATTTCGGGCCGAAATAAAAAAACACGCCGAAAAGGCACGCCGAAAATGCCCCGCCCCGCCCCGAGGCGTACACTCCCTCACTTTCCGAGATGTTTGACGAAATTCTACAGAAAAGCGCCCCGATCCGCAGCGGTGGAACAAGCGCAGCCTTACAACAACTGGACACTTATCTAGGTGAACGACCCATTGCCA